GAAAGCGATGGAACGAATACAACGAAAAAAATTGCATACGAAAGTGGTGGTGTTGCTTATAAAACTGAAGAATTTTTATGCACATGGTTACCAGAGTTTAGCGCATTCTAATAATCTGGTGATTTCTACGAAAGTACTTCAATGGGTAATATTTCAATTATATTTTATAGAATAAACCAGAATTTTTCAACGAATACATTGTTTGAGCATCTCTTTTAAAAAAGTAAAAATTTTACTGTTATAGATAATACTCCACTTGCCTAGTTTTACTCATTAGCAGCATTCTAGTACTCTCTTTTCGAAGTCTTGCATCGTTTATAAAATCGCTAAACACTGGTAGTTCGGTCCGGGGTTCAATTCCCGACGAACGGGCGTTTCGTGGTTTTCCGCTTGTGTAACGTGTATACGAGACAACTTTCCTCAGGAAGTCCTCCACGAAGGCATCTTTCCCTTTAAGTAGATAGCCCTCTAATGCTTTGCCATAACTAAACAAAGCAAAGCAAGCATCGTTTGTAAAGTCTAACTATACTAATGTCACAGATGACTTGTTGAGATTTTCTATAACTATGTATTACAAAAAGCTCTTATCATATTCCTATTTTATGTAGTTACAAAAATACAGATTATTTTATTCCTTGCATTTTTTAGGATGAAGATTCTATTTTAACCTCTCCTGGTATCGCGGGCAACTAAAAAGAGAGTTAGGAAAAAAGAAAGAAAAACCTGAAATGTCATTTTTGTTTTCTGAAACTTGCAATAATTGAATTTAGATGTTACAGAGGATTATCGTACTCTTTATTGAAGAAGTGCATGAAATGGTATCATTTGTGACAGCATATATTGTGTTGCAGTGCAAACGTCTACAATTCAGTTGATATTTTATTTTGAATAAATAAGTTGCAGGTTTGTTTGGTCAGAAAAACATTCCCATCATACCATTACTGCATTATTTTCTGGGTTTCTCCTTTTCTGACCTATTATTCTGTGTTTTTAAATGGTTCGATATCAAGGGTCAATATTTTCAGATCATTCAAATTATCATCCCAAAAACGACGCAACAGCCATCCTGTGACATATATAGACCATCAATGCTTCTACGAATTTAAAGATCTCTGGAGCAAGTACGTTTATTTCGTATAACGGTACTTCGAATGTGAATATGTAACGACTCTTTTTTTTAATTAAAATAGAAATGCCAAACAAGCATTTTCTGCGAACTTTACGAACATAGAATATTCTATCACCGTATCTCATATATTGTTTGTTATATGGTAGTAGAATATCCTACTACCAAAATATGTGTAAATCAGATTCTGTTCTGAAACTTCAAACAGAAGTAAATAATGGCTTATTAAAATGTGTTTGAAATTTTTAGGCCAAACTCAGACTCAGTTAAGAATTAACCAAATTGATGCAATTTTACTAAATGAGAGTAAGTTAACTAGTTAAAGTCCGATCGATCACTCTGGAATGACCTTAGAACAAGATTATTTTGCTTCGCATTTAATGTGCTATTAGGTTAAATGCACACAGCAAATTATTTTATACGCTGGTTCAGGAGACTACCAGCGGCCGAGCGGTAAAGTCGCTGAACACTCGTAGTTCAGTCCGAGGTTCGAATCCCGCGAGCGGGCTGGCTGCATGGGCGTTTTCGTGGTTTTCCCCATATGTAATGTGTATACGAGTCAGTTTCCCTTAGAAAGTCCTCCCCGTAGGCAGATAGACCTCGAGGCTTTGCCATAATCACACACACATACGCTGTTTCAATTAAAACTTATTTTTGACTAGTTTTTAAATCAAACTGGAAGAGATATATGCCATCTAAAATTTAAAATTGGACATGACAGTAACCTCATTTTGGCATAGATTTTGAGTAAAACTATATTGATTTCGAGGGCAAACTCAGGCACAGGTCAGCCTTCTTAAGACTTAAATACAGTTCTGGACTTTTTTTCTGCCCTGAACAAGAGAGAGCTGTGTATATTAATAAATAGAATTTTATTCAAAATATATGCCAAAATAAGGCTATTATTTGGTCTAATTTTAATTTTTAAATTTTCATTAAAAGGTACGACAGAAATAGGTACATAACATCACGAAAACTCAGGTACTATGCCTGTAGTTCGTATTTACAGTCATTAAACTTTTAAATAGCTCTTGAATGTTCTACTGGAAAAGATATCAAACCATCGTCATACGAATGAACGATAAAAGTCCATTGTGTTTTTCTCAAGAACCGATTGTGTGATCACTGATTGATACGCAATACGGAAAGAATAACTTTTATGGGAAAATGCGTCTGCTTCTGAGTATTTGTATTAGGCACTGTCGGTTTAAGAAAAAAATTGAGTAGGAAGTTTTTTTTTTTTTTTTTTTTTTTTTTTTTCATTTTTTGACCTTTACTTTTAGAGGAACGTTATTGTGGGCCATTTGCGTGTAACTGATGCCCGTCCGGCTGACTTGACTTGGCTTGGTTTATTTGATTATGACAAAGCACTTGAGGGCTATCTACTTAAGAGGAGGGATGCCTTCATGGAAGAATTTTTAAACGAAATTTGCTCGTATCCACGTGAAACACAGGAAAATACATATGTAACCATCTCTTTCCTTGGAAACTAGTTTCCCTTAGAAAGTCCTCCCCTTAGGCAAATAGCCCTAGTGTGCTTTGCCATAATTAAATACACACCACACACACTTTCCTTGGAAACGAACCCAGTCAAACTACCAACGTACAGTGACTTTACCGCTTGGTCGCTACTGGATCTCTGTTCGGCTAGCAATTTTGAGATCCGGATTTCAAATCTCAATAACGACATCGCTGATTTTTTATTTTTCCTGCTTCGTATAAATTCCTGGTCGGTCTATAGTTTTTCGTTACGCTGCCGTGTATTTGTCACATAGGGCGGCAAATGTTGCCGTTTGGCATAAAATCAATATCAGACTTTTCCAACGCCATAACGTTATGTGCTTCGGTAAAGATTCGTTTAATTTCTTTTTCTTTTTTAATAATCAGTTTTATAATTAAAATATTAAAATATATAATCCTGTTATAGAACTGACTTTAATAAATTTACTAAATTAAGTTCAAAGATATAAAAATTGGAAGGATTCTTCAGTGGAGATATTGCTTTGAAGAAAACCAAAAAAATATGTTGCCTATAAGCTCCATCGTAAAAGCGTAAATTCCATCGCTGAATTTTAATTTGTATTTTTATCTTAAATATAAAAGTATTCCAACTAATTCTCTACGCTTGGACTAGCACTATACAAAAAGACAAATTTTCAAAATGCTTACGCAATTATTTTTCTAAGTTACAAATCATTTTGCCGAGAAATGTCATAACGCAATATACATTTCTTCGAATCCCGTTAAACGTTAAATAACCCTTTCTATGCATAAAATAGAGCTTTAACATAAACAAAAGCTTATCTCGGTGTATTCAAAGCATGACAAAATAATTCGAAAGAGTAATATATGCATCGGGGCCGAGTTAACAGACATAATTTGATGAAATGAATCAACGGAATTCAGAGAATGCTTTTAGTAGATATATTTTTATGTTACTGTCAGTTAAGGAAGCAAAAAGCTGAGTTTGATTCTGCTTTATCTCATGACTCTCTGCTTTAGGGCATATCATCTCGTCTTCCAATGGGACCAGAATAATCCAGCGATTCCTTATAAGTTTGTTTTTCCTAGAAGGAATGGCAGGTAAATGGACACAGGGAGTCCCTGAATGAGTCTTGCTGCTAGTGCCTTAGCTTGGGCTCTACGATTAAGGAAATGAAAATTAAATCATAGAGAACATCGTACATAAAAAATTTAGTTAACGTTTCGTAAAGTTGTAATAAAACAGAATACATGCAACGCCTTTTAGTTTTGTAATCAAATCCTTAATTATACATACCGTAAAAACTACTAAGTAAGAGCACTAAACTTTTGTTGGAATTCAACTTCTTCTTTTAAATTTTTCATATTATTCTAGATGCAATACATAAAAACTAGAATTTTTTTAAAATTCCAAATCACTTTAAAACCCGATGCTTTTTAATTATATATATCTGTAAATCAACAAGAACCACATTATGAAAGATTATTGCATCATTTAAGATCCAAAGCTCATACGTCCAAACCTTTGTGTGTGTATATAATATACACGAATTTGTATCTCCGTTTTCTTTCAAATATTGAATGGAAAAACTTCACTATTTATATATTTTCACTAATGTTACCTAGATTCATATACATTAGTATTCGAACTGATGTTGAATTTAAAAATATACTGTTTTTTTAATCACTAATGAGCTTTGATCTACTTAACAGGTTTTATGCCGCTTTCGAAGGTATATTGCTTTAAAATATCGCTTAACATATTACTGCCAAATTTGAAAGCAATGGAAAATTAATAGTAAATGTAAATGGAATGTAATGGAAAATTAATAGTAAAAACTTCCGTAAAACAATTATGTTAAAAACCTAATCCTGCTTTTTAAATCATCTACCCTCATAAAAACGTACTTTCTAACTAAGATTAATCTTGCGAATATATCAGTTTTTAATTATCTAACACATTTTTTAAATTAGCATGTTTTTAATTAACATCAAAATTTTATTTTATTAACATCTTTTACACTCTAACAAATGGAAAGACAAATATTCATATATACCTCATAATGCTGCTTTTATTGAAACAAAAATGTCTCTTCTTTACGTGAACTACGTTTTTGAACCGGATTTTTAAATTCATTGTTCCGAAATAGCTGAAATACTGACAAAGGTATAAATGGCAATCAAATTTATGAACTTCAGCGTTTCATTTTATGCAAAATACTATGCTTCTTAAGTCATTTAATACCAAAAGGAATAAACGATATAAATCAATATATGGTAGCATCTAAATTAATGTTTTTTAAAATTATCATATGTGAAATAAGCAAACGTTTTAGTTAAACTAATGTACCTTAAGATATGTAGCTAATTTAGAGTAACACAGACTCCTTACCCACTTCCTGCCGCATTAGTAGCTCTTATACTGTGCACTCTGAGTCTGTCTGCAATAGCCTCCAACGCAGAAATTTCCATCGTCCCAATTCTTCCAAATTTTGCTTGAGATGAGCAGTAGGATCCCATATTGAAATCAAAGGAATATGACTACTAATATGGTAATTTATTCACATAAACTAATCTAATTGATTAATATTGCCTGTTGTAATAGCTAAACATCTTCTATCAGCAATATCAAACAGTGACAGGTAACTGTTTGCATGACTGTGTTAACATATTTGGTTTGACAATCTCTTACAGGCAAAGATAGATGGGCGGAGAGAAGTGCGTGACGAGACAGTTAAAAGTAGGTGAAAGAAGTTTTTTAGAGCAAATAAAGTAAAATTTGCATCAGGAAAAGGGACGGTGTATGTACTTACTGACAGCAAATGTAGGATGATACGCTAATCATCTCAGATGTTCATCTCAGATTTAATTGCAGATTAATTTTTATACAGCTGCCCACTTTATTTTTAAAATGTTTCGCATTAATGTGTCTGCTCAAAATTTCTATAAAGTAAACAACATTAAAGAATTTAAATTTTTATTCATTGTAATTAAAAACTGAAAAATATTAAAAACGTATCAACTCATTAAAGTTCATCAGTGTTCAATGCATTATGAAAATTTAGAGAAAAATAGAAAAAAGGCACGCCCAAAAGAGCTTTTTTTAACGTTTTGTATGTTAACTTTACTTTATTAAATAGTATGTTCTTTGCAAATAAACCACATAAAATTCAATTCAATAGAAATATCACAAAATATTTAAGAACAGCATATCTTTAGAATTTCTGATACACAGTCTAGCGCGCTAGAGGTTTTTTTTTTTTTTTTTTTTTTTTTTTTACAGTGTTGCCTTTGCTCGCTTTAAAATCGTTGACTTTCTTAACTAAAAATTCGTTAAAAGTTTTACGAAATTTGGAATATATAATAAAACAAATTCGAAATTCAAAATTCGGGCTTCCAAGTGTTCGATTGGAGGACTACGTTATTCAAAATTTGACAGCTCTAGGTACCATTGTTTTTTCATAATACGAGAAACATTAATGTAGATTCTTCATTTATTAGTGTCTTTAAGTATAATACATGGCGATAATGTTTGATGGCAACAGCTTGAAAAGTGAATGAAATCAGAAACTGAAACGACGCAGAATGCCGTTTTCAGACTAATAGCTCTTTGGGCTAAAACACGCTGAAACATTTTGCAGGCTTTCTAAAATAGTTTTTATGCTTCTGTAAATTCTGTAGGAAACCTTGTAGCATATATAAATTCATTCATCAATTTGGCAGCTGTACACGGAACTTCTCTTGCCGTGAACTGTTTCTTTCTGAGAACTGTGGAATGTTTATTTGCTTCAATTTCCTTCATCCCAACGCTGGACTATTCTTACATCAGTCGCTCATCAAACCCTCAGCTGTGTCGTAGAAGCTCATTAAAGTGCATTGTGAAATGTAGCTGAATGTTTCTCAAGCATTTTAAGTTTGTAGAGACATTGGGTATTTTTTTGGAAGCAGGCAGGATGAAACATTAGCAACGCCTTCGCCGGGAATCGAACCACGGACCTCTGGAATACCGGCACAGCGTGCAGAACCAGTACACCACGATGGCACGCTAAGAAAGTGGAAGAAATACCTTATAAGTTCTGAGTAGAACTGTTTATTAGTGAAGAAGTAAATCATATTCTGTGATGCTCTTTTTTGTGTTTCCCCACCTTGCGTCTTTTTTGTTGGAAGAATTCTTCCTTCTGAAACTTACACGCACAAAAGTTTATCTTAAACTAAAGGATTAAATATAAAAGAGTATCATATTAACCTATAAAAGCTTTTTTTCACTGAAATTTTAAGGGGAGAATTAGTTTAGACCAAGGCTGTCCAACTGGCGGGCCGTATAAATTATTTTACTATGTGAAAATTTAAATCTAATTTGAATTTAAAGTAGGTACTATTTAGTTTGCGTAACTTCACTTAACCTGGCTGAATACAGCAGGAATCCGTTTAACAATGGTTGGCGCTCGTGATGCGCACATTACTTATTATTAACTTAATTTCATATTTATTTATTAATTAAAATAAAAGTTGAATATGAGTGCTACTAATAAAAGAAAAATAGACCTCGAAAATCGAGAATTTCAAGATCGCTGGGAAATAGATTATTTATTTATTCTGAACAAGAATGGTAAACCACAGTGTTTGAAATGTTAACAATTCATAGCTGTGTGTAAAGAATATAACTTGAAGCGCCATTATCTTTCCATGCATGAAAAAAAAAAGTATCATTCGTACACGCGAGACGTGAAAATACCACTAGTGAAGAAAATGAAAAAGCAGCTGGATCATCAAACGATTTATTTTAATCAAGAACCAAAATTTCAAGAAGCACCTGTAGCTGCATCGTTTGAAGTTTGTTTAGAAATAGTAAAGGCAAAGAAGCCATTTGTGAATGGAGAATTCATTAAAAAATGTGCCATAAAAATGCTCAAGCATTTGACAACGAAATGGTAAGAAAATTTCAAACAGTATCACTTTCTCACCAGACTGTAAGCCGACGTGTAAACGAAATTAGCATGCATGTCACTAATAAATTAGAAAACCTAATCAATAGTTACTGCTATTTTTCGGTAGCATTGGATGAGGTGAAGATATTTACAAACAATTAAAATGTTCAGTAGAGCCGTATGGCGGATTTGACAACTGCACTGCTATTCTAACCGACGGTGCTAGAGTTATGACGGGCAAAAATATTGAGCTCGCGGGACTTTTGCAAAAAGAAGGAATAACATGTCGTATGTTACACTGTATTATCCATCAGGAGGCATTATGTGGTTTATCCTAAAACTTAAAGTCGAACTGGACAAGGTTTGCAAAATTACTAATTTAATTTGCGGCGGAAATCGTTCTCTTACACACCGAAAATTTAAAACATTTTTGGATGAATTGGAAACTGAGTATGGAGATCTGCTTTTGCATAGTAACGTTCGTTGGTTAAGTGCTGAAAAGTGCTTGAGGAGATTCTTTACACTTCGAAAAGAAGCTCATCTTTTTCTCACAGAAATTGCCGTCGATGAAAATTTGACAGCAAATTTAGTCGATAAAAATTTTATTTATTCACTTGATTTCCTAACGGAGATTACAAATTATTTAAATATTTTGAATAAATCCTTGCAAGGACAAGATCAAAATATGTGTTGCCTTTATAAATATGTCACTGGATTTTGAAACAAATTAAAATTGTTAAGGTTTAATTTGGAGCAAAATAATTTATTTCATTTTGAATCTTGCAAAGAGATCTATGAAGGAATGTAATATAGAAGCGAATTTTAAAATATTTCTACCAAAATTGGATATGCTAATTACAGATTTCAATGAAAGATTTTCTCAATTTGATGATCTTAAACCGTCTATTGATTTATTTTGTAATCCAATTAATATTGATATCAACCCTGTTGATCTTAAATATCAAATAGAATTATGTGAGCTGCAGGCTGACCCATTTTTTACATCTCGTGGAGTAACGGAATAGAAATATTCAAATTTTTAGATAAAGAGAAATATCCCAAATTGAGATATTTTGGACTTCAAATTGTATCAATTTTCGGAAGTGCATATATCTGCGAGCATGCATACTCCGATATGAAATATGTAAAGTCAAAATATAGAAACAGTTTGAAAGATTCCACTCTTGAAGATATAATTAGACTTGCCACAACAAATATTGATGTGGACATAAAATATATTGTTGCTAAACAATTACGGCCACAATGTTTTCATTAATATATTACGAAAGTTTTCTTTTTAGTATAAATAAAATATTTTTAATTAACATAAACTGACTTTTCATTTATTAACCTTCTTGCCCCCCCCCGACATGTTTAGTGAAGAAAATAGGGCCCGCGGTCTATGATAAGTTGGAACAGCGCTGGTTTAGACGAAAGAAATTTGTAGTAAGCGGGGGTAATGACGGATCGTCAGGGCAAAAAGAAGAAATTGATGACAAGTGAAGAATCGGATGATGTTCAACTGAAGATAGAATGTTTGTCCATTGGGCGGCAAAATGATCCTAGGTGTGTGTGTGTGTGTGATTATGGCAAAGCCCTCGAGGGCTATCTGCCTAAGAGGAGGGATGCCTTCGTGGAGGACTTTCTAAGGGAAACTGGCTCGTATACACGTTACACATGGGGAAAACCACGAAAACGCCCATGCAGCCAGCCCGTTCGCGGGATTCGAACCTCGGACCGAACTACCAGTGTTCAGCGACTTTACCGCTCGGCCGCTGGTGGACCAAAATGATCCTAGGAATCACGAGATTACAATAACAGCTTATTCTTACTATTCCGTTCTTATTCCCCGACTATTTTATTCTAAAATGCAATTTCAAAATACTGAAATACAAATGCGAATTAGCTTAAAATAGCTGAAAGTGTTCTTATTGTAACAGCAGTTATCTAATTAAAAACTGATTAATAATTGTATATGATGGACAAACAAGAACTTGCACGTACTGTGTATAATAAAAAAGCAAGTGAGTAAAGAAATTTTTGCTAACATTAAAACAAGAAAAATATTCTTAGAATGTTAATTTTTCTTCAAAACTAAGCACAGTATTTTACCTTCTTTCGTAGTATCTTGCTTTGTAATATGGTGGCTTTCTTGGTGAATACTGAAAAGCGGAGAGGAGGTACTGAGACAGTTCTCTGCACAAAATACTCTGGCTATACTACTGCTTCGATTGTAGTAGATTTTGCATAAACTACTTTGACAGAGTTTTATACAAAATATAAAACTAACTATAAGGTATTTTTTCTAATTTTGAAAATATCTTAAGTTTAATCAGTTAATTAGAATTTGATCTGAAAGTTTCATATGATCACAGAAGATTTGAAAGCTTAATACGAGCACATAAAAATGGTAAAGGTGAAATTTAATTGTTACTATTATCATAGCAAATATTAATATTACAGTGTTACTCTTATAGTAAATTGCTTGAATTGTTGTTACATTACTATCCTCTTCGAAAAAGCTATTGTTTCTGGTTTGTTGCATAATCGCATTTTTAACTGCGTGTATACAAATGAAGATAAACTGTAGAAAAACTGTAAAGTAGGAGCTGTATGAAAAACTCTCTCACCAGTTTTGCTTCCTAACGTAGATGGATGGATATAAGACTTTTCGCCGTTGCCTTTTCGCCTACAGGACAATCCGCCGTCCTGATACAGGACAATCCACCGACAGTTGATTCGCCATGGATCA